TTTTAACCAACTTTAAGTCAACCTCCAACTCTAGAGTGACACGATAAAACAAAATATCTAGGGTAAAACTGGGACGTTAGGGGGATTAGAACCCACAACCTTTGTATTATGGGCCTCTTACCTTATCCACTGTGCTACAGCGCTTCCCTTGGAGAGAGAGCTCCTGGTAGCGATGTGATTCATATGGAAGCCCAGTGCACAGTCTCAGAAAAGTTTCTAAGTCCGAAGACCCGGCAGGTTATTTTTCTTTCACTTTTAAAAGACGGGGTACCCTATGGACTGTAGCCATATTGGTCATTATTGAACATGTCGCATTTTAACATGTTCAAATTTGAACAATTTGAACAATGAAACCCGATCGGGTAGATGAAAACCCGATTGGGTGACTACGAGTCGAGCATTAACGTGTTCGCGTCGGGTTGTACTACCGATCGGGTCCTTGCCACCCCGATTGGGTCTAAGTCGGGTACCCGAAAGGGTTGTCTGGATCCGAAGGGGTTTTGAGACCCGAAAGGGTAGACCACCCGAAGGGGTTCACTGGACCCGAAGGGGTTCACTGGACCCGAAGGGGTTATCTGGACCCGAAGGGGTTGTCGGGACCGGAAAGGGTAGACAACCCGATTGGGTTTACTGGACCCGAAGGGGTTGTCTGGACCCGAAAGGGTGTTACGCCCTACATTCCGGTCGGGTTCTATGTTCCCGGTTGGGTACATTCTGGGCCCAACCGGGTTCCACTATTACCCAGTCGGGTAATTCGAATGGACCCGACTGGGTAAGAAAAAACCCTGCTGGGTACCGCGAAACCCTGCCGGGATTTCGCGTCACCCCATCGGGTTTCAGAGAAACCCAGTCGGGTTTGACTAAACCCTACCGGGATCCGGGTACCGGGTTTTGCAGCTGGGCGCTGGACCAGGCCGAGTCGGCCGAGCCTCGACGCTCGCATCGGCTCAAGGCAAAGCGCTCCCTCCCCCTCCCTCCCCCAGTCCCCTCCACAGGCGAGCCGGACGCCCCTTCACGGGCTGGCAGCCGGCAAGCCGCTCCCCTTTCACTGCAGCCGGCAAAGCGGCCAGCCACTGGTGACACGATACCGCTCACGGGCCAGGAAGGGTTGTCATTCCTAATACAAACGCAACGAGCAGACCCACAATGTGTAACTATTTTTGACAGTCTTAAAAAGACACCAACTACACAGGGGCGCTACGTACTTATAAAAGGGGCTATTTTTACTCGCCATGAACCACACAAGCCATTCATTCCGGAAACACTACGGCCATTGTTGCTTTATGAGGCACATTATTCATTGTTAGCGGGGCACTTCTCATACAAGAAAATGAAGCATAGATTGCAATTCTACTATTGGCCCCGCCTCACGAAAGACACCAAAATCTATGCGGCTAGTTGTGACACCTGTCAAAGATTTAAAATGAAAAACAAGAAGGAAGGTGTAATGACTAGCATTTGCCCGGAATACGTTATGCAATACGTTACGGCAGATGTCAAAACATGCCCGCCTAGTTCACAGGGGTTTAATCACTTTCTTATTATAGTAGAAAATTTTACTAAATTCTCTTGGACTTATCCGCTTCGCTCCACAGGGGCAGAAGAACTGGAAGAAGCATTTAAACATTTTATATTACAATTCGGCGCATTCCATACATTAATCTGTGACCAGGGTAGTGCCTTTAAATCAGAGCGTTTCCGAACTCTACTCAACAAGTTAGGCTGTAAAATACACTATGCACCAGTCTACTGGCACAACGTTTCGGGTCAAGCAGAAGCTGCCTTAAAAACGATAGGTCACTTGATTTCGACATTTTGCGCTGAAGCATTGAATGAATGGCCAGGTGTACTCCAGGCTGCAACTTTCTGCTTAAACACGTCGATTCGCTCGACCCTGGGAGCCTCGCCTTTCGCCTTAATGTATGGATTTCATGCATTTACGCCAGCGCGCCTGTTGCTATGCCTTCCCGATAAAACTACACCACCAAAAAAACTGCTAGCACATTTTCAGTTACGTACAGTAGCCCAAGAAACACTTGCGCGTTCACAAAAATACCAAAGACAAGTGTTTAACGCCAAACGGCGTAACACACAATATAAACTGCACGACAAAGTGTTAGTCTTTCGCCAACAGAAAAAGATTGGAGCAAAATATAGGTTTGCTTGGATAGGGCCAGGAGTGGTCCGCCAGCGCTGCGGCCCTTCCTCCTACATGATAGCAGTACCACACAATAAAAGCATTAAAGTGTGTAAATATCATGTGACACACATGAAGAAATATATAACAAGACCGCGGTATCTGCAAATCGCGGCACCCCAACCCCAAAAACCAGGATTATTAAGGGCGTAGTTT